TTTGTAAGATGACTTTATTACCATTTATTGCTACTTAACTTTTGTAACAATAGCTTAAACGAGCAAGTTTTAACTAGGAATGCTAGTTAAAGCTCTAGGCAGCTGTTTGATTTAATCTTTATAATTCTAAACGGCTTCAATTTTTAGTCTAATTTAAATTTTATAGTTCTTTTAATTTATTTTAAACACAAAACTTACTTAAATTCTAAAGTGCTACAGAATCATTTCAACTTTTAATTTAGTCTAATTTCAATTTGTAATACAGAAATCAAAAATTTTGACACAGTGCTAATTGCATTCTTGCAGTAATAATTTCAAAAACAGTAAATTATTAATTATTTTTTCAGCATGAATTTCAATTTTTTGTGTTAGCTAAGTTGCGTCTCCTTGTATGATCTGCTTGATACATAGTTTATCACTTGTAATCACTTATTACAAAATTAAAAGTATTTCTAATAATATTTTCAAAGTTTGCATTAGAAAGTGACTAAAGAGTTTTTAAAAATACTTTGAAAAGAGTGAAAAAATGAATCTCAATCTTGATATAGTATTATTAAGCAATAAAGTAAAAATTTAATTCATTTTGATTTCAGTATTTAAATCTATTATTGTTTTAAAGTATGAAATTATTATCAATCAACGTAGCGATCAGTATTGTTTTTTTTTCTGCACAATGTTCTCTAATTATGAAGCGATTCTTTAATTTTCAAAATATGTTTGATTACTTTATATGCAAAATTAACCTTTCTTAAACAAGAGCAGTGATATAATTCAAATTTTTGATTTATTTTAAATGACAAAAAAGTATAAAAGTTTAAGCTGAAGAATTCAGTTATAACTTTATTCTTGAAAATGATATTAAGCTTAAGTTTTGAGACTCTGTTTCAATTTGATCTTTGTGAATAAACTTGAGTAAATTTACATTTTAAGTGACATCATTTGCATAAAACTTGTTAACAACTTATAAACATATAAAAGCAGTTAACCCATATAACTTATTTATTCTTTATTATTTAGTATTACTCTAGGTCGATCCACGTTGCATGATTATTACTGAAAAGTATTAAATCTTGAGTACATTGCAAATTTTAAAGGTTAATTCACGTGCCAGTAACTTATAAACAAAATGTGCGACGAAGAAGTAGCAGCATTAGTGGTGGACAATGGATCGGGGATGTGTAAGGCAGGATTCGCTGGTGACGACGCACCACGAGCAGTTTTTCCATCCATTGTGGGACGACCAAGGCATCAGGTAAGACATGGGAATATATCTCAGCAGTATTGATTGATACGAAAATTATTGATTAACAACTTGAGAAATGAGTATTTAGGGTGTGATGGTGGGTATGGGTCAAAAGGATTCGTACGTAGGAGATGAAGCACAATCGAAAAGAGGTATCTTGACGCTCAAATACCCGATTGAGCACGGCATTGTAACAAATTGGGATGACATGGAGAAAATCTGGCATCACACATTCTACAACGAACTGCGAGTAGCGCCAGAAGAACATCCAGTTCTGCTTACAGAAGCCCCTCTGAATCCTAAGGCCAATAGGGAGAAGATGACGCAGATCATGTTCGAAACCTTCAACACTCCAGCCATGTACGTTGCCATCCAAGCTGTGCTTTCCCTCTACGCTTCTGGTCGTACTACCGGTATCGTTCTCGACTCGGGAGATGGCGTTACTCATACTGTTCCAATCTATGAAGGTCAGCTAGTATTATAACTATCATGAAGTGTGATATGGATATCCGAAAAGATCTCTATGCAAGCAATTGATTATGCTATTTGTTCAGCTGAGGCTCTTTCGAATTCATCAAAAAGTATTCAGTTGTTTTGCACATACACTGAGAAGGTTGATTTCAGGTTACGCTTTGCCTCACGCTATCCTGCGTTTGGATCTTGCTGGACGTGACTTGACTGACTACTTGATGAAGATTCTAACTGAGCGTGGTTACTCATTCACGACCACTGCTGAACGTGAAATTGTCCGTGACATCAAGGAGAAACTGTGCTATGTTGCTCTCGATTTTGAGCAAGAAATGGCTACCGCCGCATCTTCTTCATCCCTTGAAAAATCTTATGAACTGCCTGATGGTCAAGTTATTACTGTTGGCAATGAAAGATTCCGATGCCCAGAAGCTTTGTTCCAAGTAAGCAAGAGTACTCACATTTCATATAGATAGTTCATACGATTTCTTACTAGTGCTAAATTTCTAATTATTCTTGACCTTGATCTATTTGTTTCTTTTTCTACTTATTTTTTATTCATGTTTATTATTTTTTGGATAAATTTTAGCCCTCTTTCCTTGGTATGGAGTCTGCTGGTATCCATGAGACAACGTACAACAGCATCATGAAATGTGATATTGACATCAGAAAAGATCTCTATGCGAACAATGTACTGTCAGGAGGTTCAACCATGTATCCTGGTATTGCTGATAGAATGCAGGTTAATTTTTTGTTTTCAGAATTTTTTTTTCAGGTAGTACTTTTTGATTTAATAATTAATCAACTTCAAGTAGCATAAATAGTTGCTTAAAATAATATATTTTTTATGTTAATTTATTTCTGAAAACTCAATTAATTCAAAGTTTCAGAAAGAAATCACGGCCTTAGCACCAAGCACAATGAAAATCAAAATCATTGCTCCACCTGAGCGCAAATATTCCGTATGGATTGGTGGTTCCATCTTAGCATCACTTTCGACTTTCCAACAAGTACTAATTATTTTTTCATAAGTTCAAACTTTTCACTAAAATTAATTTACAAAAACTGAATGACAACTTAAAAAAATTAAAATTATTGTGAATAAAATTTTAGAAAAAAATGACAAATACAGGCACGGTAATTTTTAGATGTGGATTTCGAAGCAGGAATACGACGAATCTGGCCCCTCAATTGTGCACCGCAAATGCTTCTAATTTTATACAAATTAAAAAAATTGCGTTCACATTACGTCAAATTTGTGTTCGCTTCTATATTATCATAAGCATGTCTTTTTTAGTAAAATATTACAATTTCTTTCAGTTTATAATACAAAATCAAGAATTTCAATTCCGTGACGCATTCAGACTTCGATTCTGAAAAATTTCACGTGCTTACAGCTATTCAAATAAAAAAGTGATGCCTTTTTTTGGTAGCTAAAAAATTTCTTGTTGTTCACATTACTCTTGTTCCATTTGCAGTAAATTGCAAAAAGTATTTAATAAAAGTTTGCTGCTTTTTGTTTTTAACACTTAATATGATGATGAACTATTTTCTCAACAATATTCTCGACATTTTTTTCAGCTTTTTGACCTTTTTATTTTTTGAATATTTTTGAGTAATAAATAAAAAAAAGAAAGTTTTTTATAAAAAGTTAAAAATGCAACTATTAATAATTTATAAGCTAAAAGTAAATAAATTTTGTAAAAGAAAGTAACTTTTTTTCATAATTTTTATTCTAGTTAAATGTTTATCCCTTCATGCAGCAATATTTTCCACGTAATGATGTATACAAAGAATGCTTGCAAAGGTCACTTTTATAAGTGACGTGACCTTTCCTTCTGTACATCATTTTTTTACTTCATAATAATTATCCCATATTTTATTTGCATATTCAACATTAGCAAATAGACAACTTTTATCTCAATGCATTTTGTGTAATTTATTGTATACAATAGTTCAACAATTAACAGAGCAATTTTATTAGAATGACATATTAACAAATTCAACAAAATCATAAATGAAAAATCATAATAAAAGGCTTTATAATAACGATTTTGTTATTAAGTCATTTTCACGTTAATATTTTTAAAATTACATTTTCTCTGCAAAAGTAACAAACTGTAAAGCAAATAGCATTTGAATTACAGAATAAAAATGTTTAATAGCGGAAAATATTTTATAGCCTTAATTAATATACCTTTTTTTAAAAAAAAAAAGATGCCTTAATTAATATACCTTTTTCTAAAAAAAAATATTTTATACCTTTTTTTTAACAAAAATTTTTGTTAAAAAAAAGAAAATATATTTCAATTTAACAATCTGCAAGAATTTACATTGTAATACAACTATCGTTCTTTCAAGAGAAAGCAATCAAATTTGTGTAAAAAGTTATAAGTTAGAAAGTATTTTGCAGTACAACAACAATAGCCATTTTTGCATTACTTTAATACAAAATATTAGTTACGACTTTGTAAAATTTAAAATGTAAAATTAACAATTATTAAAGGAATATATTTATTTTTCTAAAATTTATGGTTATTATTAAAAAATTTATGATTACTTGCAAAACAAATGCAATAAAATTGATCTTTGTACAGAATTTTATTTATTTTTGCAAACAAATTGACTAAATAATAACAATAAAAATATTTTTAAACTTAAATCGCAATTTTTTAAAATAATACTTTCAACAAATACAAATTTGTATTCGTAATGCGTGCGTTGCAAGTAGATTTGAGTTGTATTAATTTACGAATTTAAATTTTTAAAAAGCTTTTATTTTGAATTTGTAAAGAAATAAAAACACTATTTGCATATTTATTTAGCCAGCAGATTTTTAAAGCAAATATAAACAAGAAATTAGACTAATTTTCAAATATTTTGAAAGTGAAATGAAAATAAACAAATAAATTCAAATTTTCTGACTTCATAATGTTTTATTGTTCAATCTTTACTTGTTCATTTTTCAAAAAAAAAAAAGAAAAAAAAGCGAAAAAGTATTAAGCATCGTAAGTTATGTGTAAATTGATGCTTTCTCATTTGAAAATTTAAAGCTATGCCACCTGTTGATTGTTAGCTTAAAAAAACTAATAAAATGCTTAAAGGATTTTTTATTTTTTTTCATTGCAATAATTTTTTTGATTTTCAAAAGAAAGCAATAATTAATCAAAATTAATTCAATATTTTATGCTAAATTACTTTACGTTTTTAACTTTGACCTTAGATTTAATAAATTTGATTTATAATAAAAATTAAAATTAATAATTATGAAAAAAATAAAATGAAATGCATTTATTGCTCAATAAATAATCAAAAAATACTCTTAATTTTAAAATAATTATGATTTTGTATTTAGTTTATGGCAAATTACTTTCATGTATTTTTAAATTGTTACTGTAAACTTTATTGTCGTACTTGAAATTTAACGGTGTATAGCTTTCAAATATTATTTATTCGAATAAACTTTTAATAAATTTATTAATAACCATAAAATTTTTTGTCATATTTGCAATCACTTTGAACATATCTTCAAAATAGCTATCAATAAACAAATTCTGAATGAACACTCAAATCCGTTGTAGATTAAGGCTGAAATAAACAAAGTTGAACTTAATTTTTCAAGAATTAATCTTATCAGAACTTTTTTCAAGAAAAATTGCATGTTATTTATTAATTTATAAAAATATTTTATAGAGTAACAAAAATAATTAATCTATTATAAATAATATATATAGCATTATTTTTATTGCAAAATTTAAATGTGGCTTAGATGGCATTCAGAATTTTACTTATTTTGCTTACTAAGAAAATAATTCAAAATTATAATTAGCACTGTAAAACATACAATGCCAAAATGATTTAATTACATTTAAAAAATCGCAATCATTTACTTATTAATTAATTAGAAAAATAAAATAAATGTACCAATTGTTTAAAAAACCCTCAACGTTCTTTTATATGACTTTACCAAAGTATTCTTCACATAACAGTTTATCATAGATTTGTAATGAACTTTTTTATATTCTTTAATCTTATTTGACGTGAAAGAACTGAAATTAAACAATAATTTTATTAAGATTTAGTAAAAATTTTAGCATTATAAAATAACTCAGCACGAATTTTTGATCGTAAAGTAAGCAATATATAGCAGAAAATCACATTTGCATAGAAAATTGAAATTTTAATAATTTAAGGATTCAAAAAAGGCAATAAACGGTGCCAATCTTGAATACTTACTGAAACAACAATGATAGATTCACCAGAAAGTAAAAGTTGAAGAAAATTAGTGATGGAAAATATGATACTCAAAACGTAAAATGCAAGATTCATTTGCATATACTGCTTTTATTAAATTATTTTTGATTGAAAAGTTTGCTACAAGTGAAAAACATAAAAAATGAAATAGTTTTATATTCATTTCTTAATTTTTGTATTTGAAATCGTTTCAAAAAATAATGGCTGCAATTATTAATAATTAATTAATTGAAATTTAATCATTCATTTTGCCATCATGAAAGTGCTACAATATTTTAATAATTAGATGATGAATAAAGTAATTGCAAGTGACGTGAAATAACTGAAATTAAAAAATAATTTTATTAATATTTTGTAAAAATTTTAGCTTTATAAAATTGATTTAACTTTTAATTAATTAGTTAAAATTAAAGATAGAAGTAAAAAATAAGTTAAAAAATTATCACGAGATTCAAAATAATTTGGGTTATTTTCAAAAATCTGATCATATGGATCAATCACATTCAATCAATTTTTAGTCTAAAATACTGAAAGTGATCAAAATTATTCCTAGCCCAAGCTGATTTCGATGCTACCATTGCTACCTTCTATTTAGCTGATGAAAAAAAAAGATTGAATTATTATTGATAAAAATATTAAAATAGACAGATTACTTTTGAGACAAAATTGTTAAAAATGATAAAACTATCATTTTGCTTAAAATAATTTTGAGAATTTCTAAGAATTTTAGCACAAATATTTTGTACTTTTAGCAATGAAAAACGGAAAATTTTTTCAAAAATATTTAAAATAAAATTCATTTTTGTTGTAAATTTAGATAATTGATTTCTTTGATCTATTCTGATCAGTTTTCTTTTGCATAGAATTTACGAGCAAAAGGTGGGTGTTAAGTGATAACAACCAAAAATATTGTGATTTTCCGTATAATTCCTGTGCAAAATGTTGTTTAGCACTCTCGAATTCTTGAGAAAAGTGCTCGAGAATCAAATATTTCTTTGCAATACTTCCTCTTCTTCAAGCAGCAATGATAAAAAAATATGAAACGAAGTTGTTAGCACTTAATTGTTAGCACTTGGCTATAGCTATATCTATCTTAGCAGTATATAAGCTTTGAGATGTATCATAGTGCTAATTTACTTTCAACCAGAATTTGATGCTCGTTAATTAGCTTGATTTTTCGTACTTCTCAATTTTACTTAGCATTTAGATTAGTCTAACATTTGTAAGATGACTTTATTACCATTTATTGCTACTTAACTTTTGTAACGATAGCTTAAACGAGCAAGTTTTAACTAGGAATGCTAGTAAAAGCTCTAGGCAGCTGTTTGATTTAATCTTTATAATTCTAAACAGCTTCAATTTTTAGTCTAATTTAAATTTTATAGTTCTTTTAATTTATT